TTTCGTGGAGGTGTGGTGGGGTCGCCGGGTTTTGGCCGGTTCGCTTGTTTGGCCGGTTCGCTATACATGCACGTTACTAACTTATAAGTTATACTAAATTCTTAATTTTTAGTAGGTTAAGGGTGGGGATATATTATAAGTTACTTAATTTTAGTATTTTAGTTATTTTTAGATAGCTAGAATTTCAGATAGTCGGATATATTATATAGAGATTTAGTAGTTCTTTTTATACTTTTCTAGGTTATATAGCTTATTAGTAGAATAGTAGCTAGTTAATGTAATATTTTTAGAAAAGTTTTTACTTTTTTATATAGTAGAGGATACTTTTTTTTTAGGTAGATTTTATTAATTAATATAGAGAAAACAGTAAGATTTAGCCTCTGTTATAGACTATATGGTCATAGACTACCGTAGTCTATACGGTATGGACCGCGCTCCCGCTGGGTTATTCGAAAATCCTTCTCAATAGGTAATAATAACACTTAAACTACCTGTTCAGACATCAAGTATTAATTATATAACACTTTTTAGTGCTGATAAGGAGTCTCTACCCAGGCTCGCCAGGTTCGTTGATTGCTTACCAAGCCTACCATTCCAATTGACCTGACGTCAAATTCCTCTAAGCGACCTCTGCAACCAATCTGATTGGTGGCCATTCGGAGATACGACAATAACCTTGTCGTTAATCCTGTAGGCAACATACTTAATATCTTCTGTCTATGCGAGTACTTTCTCTAGAAAACAGAACGTCCCTGCTCTTTCTTCCTCAGCGGATATGTGAATCAAGCTTCTCATTCTGCTCAGTCGTTTTACTTAACCGAATAAAAAGTGGCTTAAGGTCTATTCATTCCGGGCCAGATGCATTTTCCAACCACTTTCTGGGAATCATCTAGCCTCAACAAAGCAACCCTCGAACCTGAAATAATCTCACAGTATCAAGAATGTCAAGTTTTTCAAGTGCCGCTACCCCCCTAGAACCACGACTTTCTCTTTCGAGTCAACAGCCTGTGGCGAAACCAGTCCGTAAGCGCGATAAAATCCAATTGTCTTGTACCTTCTGCAGGAGGAAAAAGTAGCTGATCCTCTCAGTCTCATTTGCCCAAAGCTAATGACCCTCGTAGGCTAAAGTGTGATCGAAACCAACCGTGTCGTACCTGCGTAGGTCGAGGAGTTGGCCGTTCATGTACATATATTCAGAACTCTCCCAAGTTTAGATCTTTACCAGCCCGGGTGTCACAGAGTACGCAGAACAGCCAGATACAAAACAAAATCAGTCAGCTTGAAGAGCTTGTTGTTTCGCTAATGGGCTCTCTGAATGCTACCAAAGCGGTTCAGCCACCACCAAATTCTATAGAACCTACAGGAGAAATAGAACGATCAGGGTCCGCAGAAACCCACGTTCTTAATCAAGAAAGTTTAGCAGATAATTTCGGCCGTATTACCCTGGAAAACGCAGGTACGAAGTATGTGGATAATACACACTGGACGGCGATTCTTGACGGAGTAAGTCTTGCTTCGTCTTTCAAAATTTAACCTCATCGCTTCATGCATGTTACACTCAACCAAAGAAACCTTCCTTGTTTGATATACACACTCTCCCAGTGGACGAAAGAGATGGCAAAAAAACTCTGGATCTTCACACAAATTGGTTCAAATATTTAATTATTCCAGTTGATTAAGATGTAAAGAACAATTACCCGATAATCCCAGCATTATTGTTGTAATTGGTTTTATATATGTTGATAATTGAAATATTCAGAGTCAAATTACGACAATAGGAAGAAAGAGAACTTTTGCTACCTCCTTGTCCACTGAGAGAAATACCGTCATCACAGCCAGATACATTTTGTATCTCAATTTTCATTTCATGAATGCTGACTCAACTACTAGATTTCAGAATTGAAAGATCATTTTGTGGAAGATCCGGTACTCACATATGAAATTCCTCCCGAGTTGCAAGAAAATTCACAAGAGACGCCCTTGCTACTATTTGGCCGCAAAAACCATGCAACAAAACAAGAAATACTTGCAGGGCTTCCGCCGAGAAATATAGCCGACAGACTCGTTGCAAAATACTTCAACTCATGGGTCATGTCCCCGGGTTTGTTTACACGTCAAATTTATTGTTTCGATACTAACTGTGATTGACCGGCAGTACTTCATCGGGTAACTTTTCTGAAGGAAGTAAGACTCGGTACTTCCTTCCATTCATATCCAAACACTGATTGGTATTTTTAATTTTAGTACGAGAGATTTTGGGCAAACCCCTCACAAGCACCGACCATGTGGATTGGTCTCCTCTTTGCAATATTTTGTCTTTCTGTCAACTTTCAGTTAGTCTCTCAAGAGGACGACTTACTGACCGGCAATGCTTCACACCCAGCTGCTGAAGATGCTCAAATCACAATCCAGGCTTACAAAGAAAAGATTGTTCAGTGTTTGATTTTAGCAAAGTACATCAAATCTCTACCCTACACCATTGAGACTCTTCTTCTTTACCTTGCAGTTGAGCACCTCAACGACAGAGATGCTCAGATAGGAACGTACATTCTTTTTGGGATTGTTGTTCGAGTTTCATTGCGAATGGGATACCACCGTGACGGATCTCACACACCCGATGATTTGTCTCCATATCAAGCTGAGATGCGGCGAAGGGCTTGGGCGTTAATTAGAGGCATTGATATTGCCGTGTCCCAGCAAGTTGGACTACCTCGTATGCTGCGAGAAGAGATTTACGACACGGCAGAACCCAGAAATCTCATGGACGAGAACTTTGACGAGGACAGCCTCGAGCTGCCATGTTCCCTCCCTCCCACAGTACTTACGCCTATCTATTATATCACGGTCAAAAATACCCTTCTTGATGTATATGCAACGATAATGGACTTCACAGCACATACCAAAAAACCTCTTTATTCGGAAATAACTCGATTAGACGCAGAGTTATGCAAGGTAAAGGAAAACCTTCCTCCGCCTTACCAATATAAATCTATGGCACAAAGTCTGACCGACCCCACTGAGTTGTTGATTTTCCGAATAACGTTCGAGGTCACATTTCATTCTGCAAACTGTCATTTGCATCGCTCTTTCATGGCAATCGGCCGTACCAACCTCGTTTATAAGAGTTCACGACACGAGTGCCTTGCGAGTGCGATACAACTTCTTCTTCTTCAACACACCTTTATGGAAGAGATACAACCTGGTGGGCGCCTATCCGAAGAAAGATGGAAATTGAATAGTATGATCAATAATCAATTCCTTCTGGGAACGACAATTCTATGTCTGGATGTGAACCGAACACTCGAGGATGGCGATGTGGTAGATTCGTGTAGAAATATCCTGGACGAGAAAGACGGGAGGGAATTGATAGTCAATGCAATGATGAAAGGATGGAGGGCTTGGGAAATGTTAAGTGGCAAGTCTCAGGATGCAAAGAAGGGGGCAAACGCCCTCAAACTTGTTCTTGGAAAGATCAATCAGAAACCAGGAGGGCCCTTTGGAGCATTGGGTTCTAAACATGAGATGCCACGGTACGATGGGTATCTCGCTCCAGAACCCGCTGCATGCAGCTCCAACCCGTCTCTGAGGAGTGATGACTTTCCAATATATCCGAGCCCTGGGGTTCAAGGCTCGGATGTCGACATGATGTTCAACTTCAGCGACTTCGATATCCCAACAGATGACTTTGCTTGGGTATGTTCACATAGTCACTACATTGCTCTTATGAAGACTGATTGTATAACTAGGATGATTGGGATATCCTGCAAAGCATATCGGGACCAGAATCGAGTTCATATATGGGGTTGGCCTTTGGCTTCTAATTTCTAAGTACGAGATGCGGCCTTCTTTCTGGACACCCACCCACAATTCAAGATACCAGTGTTCCAAAAGCCTTGTATAACTATCCTTTTAATCCGAATGCTTTGGAATAATTAAACACTTTCCACTTTGATCTATTTAGACATAGAAGGAGTATTATGCTGCATCTGCTGATATTTCTGTATGATGACTCTTCATGTTGTGTGCAGACTCGCGTGGGACCAAAAAGCGGCAGTAAAGTATTGAATTATTCTAATTTCTACAAATGGGTCAGCCACGTGGCATGCCTCCGTCCCGGCTGTGTAACCACTTTCAACGCAAGAAGTAACTGAGATGGTTTTATTACTAGGCCTTGGCCCATTGCTTTCCGCTCCATACATCACCCGTCGTCCATAACCAATAATCCCTTCCCTTCAACAACCACACGAAAAAATTGGGTACTCTCCATCCCATCATAGCACCCACGCCTTTAATTTTCCCGATCGGTACCAGCTGAGTTTCCCGAACGTCTTCCTTGAAGATTTTGTCTTCTGCTGGAACTGGTGCTCGTCCAGCTGCTTGAAGAAGATCGCGCTTCATGTTGGTACCAAGAATTGGGATAGCCTCAAGAAGTATATGGACGGCTGGCCGAGAATATGATGCGACATCTCCTACTGCATAGATTCGAGGCCCTGCACCTTCTACTCGTAGGGTCGATGGGTTGGTATCAATACGACCATCAGCCACCAAGAGCGTCTTGTGAACGAAAGTGGTGTTTGGTTTCGTACCAGTGGCAGGTATGTAAAGATCAGTACTGAGAGTTCCGCCATTGTCGAGAGTGATTGTCGTCTTCGTCGTGAGGCTTCCAGGCGCGCCAGACTCTGGTGTCACATTTTGAACCCTCTTGTTCTTTATGACAGTCACACCAACCTTCGAGAGGTATCCTTCGGCTACACTCGCAAGAGCGGGTCGAAGACATGGTAAGATAGTGGATCCACTGGTCACGACAGTGATTGGAACTTTTGGATCTTTCATTTTGGAGCTGAACCAGCCCGCTCGGCCATTCAAGTATTCTCCCAATTCTCCAGCCGTCTCGATACCAGCTGGACCACCTCCCGCAATGACAATACTCCTGGCGGATGCAAGACCTCTTCGAAATTCGGCCCAGCTTGCTCGCAAAGCATCTTCGTCCTGATTGAGACCAAGGAGAGGGGAAGGTGTAGATGCACCGGTGGCTATAACAAGAGCTTGGAACTCTATGACTTCAACTTCTCCATGCTTCAAGGTGACGGAGACAGTCCGGTTGCTATGGTCAAGATTTGTCGCGGTACCCTGGATGAACCGAAACCGGTCTTTGGGATATTGAGCGAAGGATTTTGGAATGCTGACGAAGAGTTTCTCTTGATTGAACATCTCATTCGAGATAAGAGCGCGTGGACAAGCTTGTCTACATAGTGCTTGTGAAGAAGAGCTAGCGAGAATGATTTGGTACGACTCTGGGACAGGCAGGTTCGGTACGACGTGCTTAAGGAGATAGTGAGCTGTGGATATGCCTCCGTATGAACCACCTAGTACGAGAAGTGTATTTTGTGTGCCTTCTTTGCCCATTTTGAAAAGAAGATGATAGTCGAGAATGTAGTGGTTTTTGAAAGTTGAATGGAGTGTTCAAAGTAGGAGAACCTAGTTTACCTTTATACTCCTACCATCCCACATATCTTCCAGAGCCGGTGGGCAAAAGCTGATTCAGCCGCGATGTGGTTACACGGAGAAGGATTGCTTACTGGAGTGTTAGAAATATAGGGATTGGTGCGATTCTGTACGTCAACTAGGTCACCTCGGACTTCGGCATCCCACAGGACGCCGGCATGACAAAGATTTTCCGCCTTACGGCGTATACAATACTGTCTCTATATCAAAGTGAAGTGAATTACGCTGAATACTTAAAACTCCATTTTTTTATTGAATCCTAATCCTATAATCATGAACCGGTTCGTCCTAATTCTTTTGAAAATTAACCGTATTAGGATCGGATAATATAACCGGATAATTATTTACACTTACGTAGTATTAATGTATAGATCTTAGCTAAAGTAAAGAGGTTTACGAACAGCTATCTATTAGTTGTTTACCGGCGGTGTTTTATAACTCTTTTATTATAAATAGTAGTTAAGGCCTATATATTTCGTTAGGGTGAGGGTTAGGGTTAGGGTTAGGGTTAGGGTTAGGGTTAGGGTTAGGGTTAGGGTTAGGGTTAGGGTTAGGGTTAGGGTTAGG